GATTGTTGCAATTGGCTTCTCAGTTGCCCTTATTTCACGGCCTGCTATTGCAGCTCCTTCCTCAGTTATCAAAAGTTTCCTCCTCCCTTTAACAAGCCATCTTCTTTTGATGCTTCGAATCAGCTGCTTCCCAACACCTCTTCCCCCTCATCAAAGCTGGTCAAAATATTGAACCTAACTTTGTGGCTGGGAATATTTCCTTTGCTTATTATACGTTAAGAGTGTCCTCCATGTTAGGAATGCCTCTACCCAAATCAGACCATTGGTTCCCTAAGCTCAATGCTGTCCCCACTAATTGGCTGGGTTTTCCGACAGAGGGTGGTCTTTTTCTAGCCAGGAACTGAACTTTGGACCATGTGCATTGAAAAACTTGAGTGACAGCCCTTCCCCATTAATGGTGCTGTGTAAAAGAACAGCAATATGAACAACAACGAGTTTTCAAATGGAGGAGAACTCTTCAGGACTGTGATTATCTTGGGAAATCCAGCCCTTCTCTCTCTCTGATGGATAGCATTTGTGGTGCAACTCTGGATTTACACAGATATTTGATAGGGACATTTGGACTGTATAAAAGAAGGAGAAAATTGAACTGATGCTGTGCTGCTGGTTGCTTGGTTACTTCTTTCGGTATGGTATCTATGCTGCTTTTATTTCCTTTCCCTGTGACTCTGCAACTTTACATTTATTAATATTGAATCTATCAGTGTTGCGTGTAGCCCTCACAACTCTAATCTCTTTAGGTTGCTTTGCGGCCTTATTTCAGTCCCCTGTGTGTTTTAACAATTCTGTTGTCAGATGAAAATATTACCACAGTTGGGCTTATTCCAAAGAATCATCCTGCAAGAATGGCTATATAAATCAGCTATGCAGAATGCCAGGGGACTGTGGTTTATTTAGTTGGAAACTGGAAACTAAAAAAGAAAAAAGAAAAGGGAGGGGGCTCCTAAAAATTCTATATCGGGTACCAAAGCAGCATAGAATGTAATTTTTCCTCAGCTTTCAGTATTCTGTGAAAGAAACAGCTAAAAGGGTTACAAAGGAACGCTCTCTGGCCGACAAGTTGAGAAATGTCCATCTAATATGTCGGAAAGATAATATATTAGAACGATGACTTCTTTCCATAATTTGTTTCTTTCAGGAAACTGCTCTGCAGTTATTGGTAGAAATATTATGGTTTATTGATATACTGCTTTTTGGCCCTGAAACTGGTAAGCAGCATATTAATAAAAAAGAAAGATATAAACACAATAAATCCATCAAATGATATATAAAACAGCAAAATCACACAAAAAACCCACCAACCACACTGGATATGTGTTTTTGAGCTGCATTCGTGTTCTCAGTACAAGTGCAGTTCTCCTGTTTTTCCCCTCTCACTGGAAGCCAAGTTAACTAACATCCACCCCCCTCTGGCTGGTACAATCAATCACCGAAGGAAAGCCCAATCCACAAAAAATAGGGGTGGTGGTGGCCTTGCCCTTGTCTCACCCCGAAGGAGTGACCATCCCTTTGGTGTCACTCCATTTGAGGTTGGCCTACCAGTAGCCTGCAAATATAGATGCTCTGCCCCTAGAAACCAGCCACAGATAGGGCAACGTTCTTGCTCTTTGTGGGCAGGGCTGGCTGGCAAACCTTCAAGCTTCTCCAACAGACTGCTGTTCTCTAGGTGCAGCAGAAAAGGGCTGTGGAGGCTAAAGTTGGCATGTACCAACTTTACTCCATTCTCACATCACAATACCTATCAGAGAACTGGACAGCCCAACAAACCTATTTAGACATTCTGCTGTGTGTAAAACCTACAGGGAGAAGTACATGGAGCTTCCACTATTGGTCTTGCTGCTTGTGTGTAGGTTTGAAGCATGACCATAATAGTCAAATAAGGCTAAAGGCTCCAGAAAACCTGGCCAGATCCCATTAACCTCCCCTAAAACCTCAAAAGTCAAAGTAACTTTAAGGTCAGTGATTATGTTATGGGGCAATTATGAGCAAAAGAGGACAATGGTGCCTAGTGAAGATGCTTTTTGTTTCCACGAGATCATCTGCTTATGGAGCCATTAGCAGGCTTCCATTTTGGCTGCACAAAAGCCACTGGAACAGACACCTTCACTGTAATTTCTGTGTTTTCAAGCTGCCCCAATTATACAAAAAGGCTGCCCCATTTACATTGTATTTTTTTTTTCTAAAGTAATTTTTATTAAAGTTTTAAACAACAAAGAAATAAAGGAAAAACATACACAATACATATAACAAAAACACAAAGAACAAAAAAAAACAAAAGCAAAATTCAACAATAAAAGTACAAGAAACATAACAATTTAAAAACAATATCTCTGTTTCATTTCCGTTTTTTAGTTGCTTATTTTCTGGACTTCCTCATACCTCCCTCTTTTGTATTTCCCAAAGATTAAGGCTTTCTGGGAAATGATAGATAATGAATTAAAAAAGGTATTTAAGTATACCTTCCCTAAGAAACCAGAGGCCTTTCTCCTGGGCATAGTCGGCCAAATGGTGTTAAAAAAGGATAGAACTTTCTTTATGTATGCAACAGCAGCAGCAAGAATACTCATTGCAAAGTATTGGAAGACACAAGAACTTCCCACGCTGGAGGAATGGCAGATGAAACTTATGGACTATATGGAAATGGCGGAAATGACTGGTAGAATCCGTGACCAGGGAGAAGAGTTGATGGAGGAAGATTGGAAGAAATTCAAAGACTACCTTCAGAAACACTGTAAAATTAAGGAATGTTAGAGTGATGTTGGATTGAAAACAAGAGGTTTCCAGCTGTACAGGTTAAAGTTAATGATAGACTAAGATTAAAGATTAAGATTAAAGATGTTTAAAGAAATGGAAATTTGATATTAAGAGGGAAAATTTTAATGGTATATGATATTGAGACCAAGGATTAGGTTTAAAGAAGTTGAAGTTATATATTATAATATTTTATTAAATTAAAGATTGGGATTAAAAAGTGGAAAAGAAACTGCTGGACAAATAATTTGGATTGGAATACATTGTAAGGCAGAAATGTAGATTTCTGGTAGTTTTACTGGAAATAAATATCTGCAGAATACCACAAACTTATCTCTAGCAACTATCCTACACAATCAGCAACCAAAATCTCCAGCAGGGTGATTCTCTAGATACTAACTTGGGGACTGAAACTCTCCAACTACCGTACAGATGGTCAGACTCTACCACCCGTGGTACTCCAGATATTATTACTACAACTCTCATATGCCCCAGACAGCATGGCCAGTGGTCTGGGATAATGGGAACTGGATACCAGCTGGAGGCCACCCTTTCTGCATAAATCATGTGTGTGCATTGCAGATTCACTGTACTCCATGAAAGATCCACCAAAGGGTCAGATTCCATAAACTGCAGGATTTGGGGACTTTTTTTAAAAAAAAAAACCCCAACAACTGCATTTTCATTAAAATTTGGTACAAATTCCAGGAATATAACAAAGTTCCTTTAAGAGCCTCACAAAGTGGCCTACCGGTTGGTTATATCTCATATATAGTTATAAGAATGTGTTTAAGCTTTCCATTCCCGAAGAAGAGTCTTTCAACCTCCAGTAATCCAGCATGATTTTGCTAGTTACATTCTGAAACACCGCGTAATAGTATTCTTGATAATTTAATTAAGAATTGAGCAACAGGCCCCATGTGTGAAACTCAACGCAGCAGGCCTCCTCTGAATGTGCTGCAATGTACAAGTGCATTCTGCCGGCGACATTGCAACAAAGGCTGAGCCAAGGAAGTGAGGGAGGAGCAGGTGGAAGCTGGGCAAAATGAAAAGCAGCTCCTCTTAAAAGGACATGCCATTTGTTTCACAAGTCCAACTGCTCAGCCCATTCATATTCAATCCCACGCCTCTATTCTAGCGTAATATATTTGTGCCAGATGCAATTTCAAGCTATTACTCACAGCAGGAAGGCTAGAAACCCATTTTTGATGGGGGACCACACATTTTCAGTAGTTTGGGGCACATTACTCTTGCTGAGCCTAAATGGTTCATGGTTGTTAAATTTGAATTTTATTCACCTGTGCTGACCTAATTGCATTTAAACAAAATTCCTTTCAAAGTATCCCTTTAACAATGGGAAATACCTTGATATTTCTCCGTTTGTCCCTGTGCCCAGTTCCCCACTGTTATTGCCTTGCCGAAAATCCATTTCAGGGCAGTGGGGGGGGGAGGGGATGGAAATGCTGAAAGGTTTTAAATTATAAAAAGGAGAATGCGCTGGATAGGCTCTCTGAATCTGCATCACAGGTCACTGTGGTTTTCCAGCTTTCACGTTAACATTATGTTTAAATAAATTGATGCAGGAAATATATAAGCATTTGTAACTCACAACCAGCTGAATACAAATGCCATTTTGGGCCAGAGACTGCCCAAGGAAGAATACATAAGACATTTTCATTAGCAGATAAAGGAATTCGTTTGGTGCTAGCTGGAAGGCCTCTGCTAAAGAATTCAAGTACTGCAAGTGATGCTTATGTATAACTGCCCTTTTATTTTACAATCTGGAGTTTCCCCCACATTCAACTGCATTGATTCATTGCAGTCTGAGCTTTTCAAACTACAACCACCGACAATTTTTACGTGCGAAAATCTGAGGTTATTTCTTAGACAAAGCCTTTGAAGAATTTCAACAGAGGCTAAAAAGAGTTTCAGTAAGACTAGCAAAAATTACATTTTTGGGGAAGTGTTGGATGGGTGTGTATATGAAGCCGGCAAAATGTTATCTGAAAAAGCCATAGGTTTATAACTGTCTTCAGATCTATTCACCACATTTGTTTCCTCTTGCTGCCCATATAGTGACTGTGACGATGTCCTCATGTCATGATCTGGGGACTGGGTACATTATAATGTCACTGGGAAAAAGCAAACTAAAACTAAATGCTCAAATTTAAAACTTACGGTGTAACTATCATTATTCTTAAAAATTCAGCTACAATTTTTAATATCTTTGTAAATGAGCTTATTCTTTTGATTATTTATACATTATGCATGTCTACAGAAACTGTAATATTCCTTAAAGTATTTCAAATAAAAAACCCCTATTTTTTTAAAAAAATGTCCCACTCAGATTGACTGTCCTCACTGATTTCAGTTCTGTTAGATAAACCAGACCAGCGTTTCTCTGCCACAGAGCTGTTGCTCATCCAACAGGAGTGGCGGCTGTAGAGCAAGGCCTACCACTTCCTGGAATGGAACAGGGCTGCTGGTGGTGAACTGGCTGCTGCAAAACTGCACCTGCGGGAGCACCAGGCAGGCTTCCTTGGTGCACTCGTGCAGCCCCAACCCCACTGCCACTCCCGCACCATCCTGGTGAGTGGCAGCAAGGTGCCACCCTTGAAGTCAGCTGCTCCTGTCTCAATATAGAAACTATTGGACAAGATGGATGAATAATCTGACCTGGTATGGATCAGATTCCTACATTTCTATGCCCTCCTCCTCCTCCCTAGTTCCTCCCTGCTTCTCTCTCTCTTTCTGTCCCTCCCTTCCTCTACTTACTGCAGTCATTGCAGGGATTTATCAATCAGTTCCTCAGCGTGTACAGGGTTGCTGAATCTGCAGACTACAATATTTCATTTTCTGTCTGACTTTGTAACTGCAACTGAAGCTAGGTTCTGACTGAGAAGCAGGCAAAGGTCCACGGCCACAGGGCTGCCACACCTACACACATGTAAGCTGCCTCTGATTTATACCTATAATAGCATCTGAGAAAATATGGAGGTTTGAGCCTGAACTAAACATCTGAAGGATTTGGGGGCATTTCACTAATTCCAACTGGATACAGTCCAGAAAAGTGGGAAAAGATGGAGCATTTAGTACTTCTTCTCTATAAGTTACCAAGTCTGGTGATGCAAATATGCTTATATGTTGCATACGGAGTTTAAGGATGCACTGTTGTCCATGCTCACTCCAAAAGTGGCCATGGTTTTCCTGCACATGCATGCAAAGCCCTTGAGGGGGCTCAAGAAAACCCGTCCCTGCTGTCACACCTCCTCTTTCCCCTTCCTAAAGGCAAAGAAACTTACATTGGAGCAGGTGAAGATGAAGGCCCTCAATGCAGCATCTTTTTCTGCTGGAGAATGGGAGTCATAAAGACCAGTCCTGGAATTCCTGGTGGGAAGCTAATACTGCAGATGCCATTCCCACCAAATAAAAGTATATACAGTGGTACCTCGGGTTAAGAACTTAATTTGTTCTGGAGGTCCGTTCTTAACCTGAAACTGTTCTTAACTTGAGGTACCACTTTAGCTAATGGGGCCTCCCGCTCCCGCTGCGCTGCTGCTGCGGGATTTCTGTTCTCATCCTGAAGCAAAGTTCTTAACCCAAGGTACTATTTCTGGGTTAGTGGAGTCTGTAACCTGAAGCGTCTGTAACCTGAGGTACCACTGTATAGCCATTTGGCATTTGGGACACAGGTGGTGCTGTGGGTTAAACCACAGAGCCTAGGGCTTGCCGATCAGAAGGTTGTCGGTTTCAATCCCCACAATAGGGTGAGCTCCCGTCGCTCGGTCCCTGCTCCTGCCAACCTAGCAATTCAAAAGCACACCCAAAAGTGCAAGTAGATAAATAGGTACCGCTCTGGCGGGAAGGTAAATGGTGTTTCCGTGTGCTGCTCTGGTTTGTCAGAAGAGGCTTAGTCATGCTGGCCACATATACGCTATATGCTGGCTCCCTCAGCCTGTAAAGCGAGATGAGCGCCACAATCCCAGAGTCATCCATGATTGGACCTAACAGTCAGGGGTCCCTCTACCTTCAATATTGTTGCCTGTATCAGAGTTGGATATAAGGGAGCACAACAGGTTCAGTTGCACTGGGTGTGGAGCCTGACATAGAATGGAAGGTGAGAGGCAGGGGGTACAAAATTTTGGTGTTGCACAGGCTGCTGCTGAAATTTGAGACCCCAAGGTTCACCACTGCAAGTATCATTCTTCAGCTAGTACCCCAGCCATGCAATATGGCAACCAAGTCCAGCATTCCATAGAAGAAAGAAGGAGCTACAACACAGGAAGTCAGGGGAGGGGCCATATCTACTTCTCATACTACAGCTTTTCCTCATCATATCCCTACTTCCCCCAGAGTAACAATTCACCAAAAAATGCTGAATAGCTATGCTAGACATACTGCTGAAATATAATGTTTATTGACTTTGTCTCACTGAGAGATTACTGCATTTCTTTTTCTCTGACCACATTCAACCTCTGAATCATAAACATATTTAATCAGCATTAATTGTACATGTTTTATCTTTTTCCAGAATACCGATGAAAAGGTTGTCTTCCAGCAGACTTGCATCAGTTCCTTCGGGTATCCTATCTTTCACAGAAAGTGATTGCTCATTAGAATTACTTGCTGAGATGTATTTACAGATTTAAATAACCTAATAAGTGCTTTATTTATATCATGTCCTGCTACTATTATTACGTTTTAAGAATTTTTTTAATTATATGCTGGGAGGGTTGGTAGATTCCCCTTCCAAGAATTAATCACCTGGTAGCTTTATTGATGTACCAATAATGGATACTCTCAGATGATACAATTATGTCCTATACAGGTGTCCTTATCTGAACCCCTGCTACTTCCGCATAGTGTGCTGAGAGAATCCAGTCTAATGTCTACAAATGCTCATCACATGATGCTGTGTTACCACCATTGTCCACTGCTGAGGTGGAGAAGGGACAGGGAATACCACTTTAGATCAGGAATGAAAAATGTGTGGCCTTTAGTGCATTCATCCCCAACCATTGGACAACATTGGCTGCAGCTTAAAGAAGTAGGAGTCTTACATGGTGACTGTTAATGTAGACTCTACAGTGCAGAAGTGGAAATGGGTCACTCAATGGCACGTAAAATAATGTCTAGGGTATCCCTTAGTCATACAGGGAAGCCAAACCATCAAAAATACATTTTTCAATTCTGCTCATTAAAAATATGAGATCAGATTTGACATGACATTTTTTCTATAATATCCTGCTGAGACTGGCATTAATTACATTCCTTCTGTTAAAGCTTTATTGATTAAGTTTTAAGTTTTCCTGTTCTATTTGCCTGATATCTGTGTCTGGTTAATCGGTCAGTGGGCAGACTTTTCAGCATTGCATCCTTTTCCTAACAAAACATGAACTTCATTCTCAAGAATGTAAAGGTGTACTCTAATGTTACACTAAAGGTGCACCTAAGAGAGGTATAAAATGCAAATGTCTATCAATTCATCTAGCCTCAGCTTGAGAATTACTGATTACTGGCTTTAAAACGTTTATTCATTTTGGCACAGACCATTAGGGGAAAGGGAACTTGCCAGATTGGATCACCACAGGCAACTGGAAAAAACCTGGACTGGAAATCCAGCAGATGCAACGTTTAGGATACTGAACAAGGAAGTCAGGAAAAAGAAGAGTTTCTGTGAAGTAGTGCACTTTTTTATTCTTTTGAGGGGGCGGGCAGGGGCGGGATAAGACAGTTCTTCCACAAACCTTCCTTTTGCAGATGTATATGAAAATCTCTATCTTGAGAGAACCTTTGTCAATAAATGTGGCACTACTACTTTAGGAAGCATAATCCTAAATTATGCTGTGTGTCAATTTTTGTAACTCACCCCTCCCCTATTTATTTGGGCAGCAGGGTGTGGGGGTACTGCAATCATTACAATACTTTACCCAACTGGGCAAAAGCTAAATTTTAGTATGCTTGAAGGCCAATGCACTCTGCTTACTAGAAGACAGGACATGTTTACTCCATCTCCAGAGCCCATGGCCTGAATTGTGCATCATAGCAGTGCACATCCATCCTGAACAGAACAAAATGAATCAAAGATGGAATGGATATTCCTGTGAGAGTTTCACATTCGCACCGTTGAATGCATAGTGTGATACTATGCATAGTGTGGGTTTATTTTTGCTTCTGCAAGCATAGGGAAAGATCCCAACAAACTCATCCATCGAATATTAATATCACCTTCTTAAATTGCCGAAATGTAACTACAAGAATAAAAGTTGGGAGAAACATGTTCCTCAACAAAGTCTCAGTTTAAAGTTATTTATTCTTGCACTTCAAAATTCCCATCAAGGCCAGAGGTCTTGTATACACAGACATGGACTGAAAGTTTACCTTCACAATTACAGGCTCCTCCCATATAGCCAAACCTCTTTCAAAAGTGCACTAATGGATTCAATGGAGCCGTTAATGTTTTTGCCAGTTGTGTGTTTATTACAGCAACCTAGAATTCAAGGTGTGCTTACGCATTCTTCTTGAACCCTTTTGTAGACAGTTGTTCAATATCTCTTGTGTTACGATTGCCTAAGGAACAAGACAGCATGATCTTTGAGGCAAGATCCTTATCTAGCGTCAGACAGAGACTACCTTTGGCTGCAAGTAAACTCTTATTAAACTATAATGTTCAGAAAGCCTTTGAATATAATCCCCCCTTAAAAGCTCTGTATCTCTTGAGATACAGCAGATCCTAAACACGTGTGGGAGCACCTGCCTTTTCAAAACCACTAAACTAATCTGATCTTTTTATAAAGATGGCTGGGAAAACTTTGAAAGTCAAAGAGTGTTTGAAAAGGCACCTATGGATTTGGTTGTAGCTAAGTAAAATATTTCAAACTTATTTCTTTGTTGGTAGAAGAGAAACCTCTGTACAGCAACTTCACAGTTTATCCTTGAAATCCCAGGTTACACAGGGCTAGAACTTAGTTCATTTTCAAAGGGAGTGAAATTGCTTTCTGTTCTTCCCCACAAAATACTCTTCACTGTCAGTAGCATCTGATAACATGTCTGAAAGTATGCATCACAAAGGGTGCGCTGGATCTGGTCTCTGGCACAGGCTGCATTCTTTCTTTTTAAAAGTCTCCAGGCCTCAAGGAGAAGACATTTATATAAGTCCAAATGTTTAAGTGAGTTAAATAAATGGATTTTGTACAGGTACATCCAAAGATTTGCACATTTGAAGGTTCAGTGATTTCAGTTGCAAAGTTAAGCACACACTTAGACCTCTACTAATCCAAATGGGACTCTACTCCTGTCTTCATGCCACTCCTTGCAAACAAACCCAAATTTAGGGTTTCAAGCTGAACTATATACTAAACATCATAACAAACCAATGTGCATGGATTTTATTTAATGCCTGATGTAGGGCAATACTAAGTAACTGTAAGTATCCCATTCTGACTTCAGGGTTCTAGAACCAACAAGAAGAAACAATGCCTATTAGAAAAAGTATGTAAGAAACTGAAAGGTTAAATACTAGAAGTGTCCAATAAGAGTGCAGGGCTCTGTAAACCAATGGATAATATTGCCTTAATATTGTCTTTTCTGTCAACCCACCGTTCCCTCCATCCCTCAGCAGTCATAATTTCAGAGAGACTGAAGCCATTCTGGAAACCTTTCTAATCTTATGTCTTTTCTGAAACATGATAGTTAATTAGTTATTTGATTATGATAATCAGAAAATCTAATCACTGCAGTCTTGATGAAAATTCAGTGATTATCCCACGAGAGCTCTGGTCCAGTAAATGTGTTGACAGGCCATTTATTATGATGGCGATGCCTCCCAGTGATGGGTAGAAGAAAACAAAGGCAGGCAAATGTCGCAAATATTATGTACAGGTCTCCAACTTAAAAAAGGAAGCTACCACCACCAGCAGCTCTGCTCTTTGGATGCAGAAAAGGAAGAAGAAGAACATTGCCAAATAAAATGTAGAGTTTTGCCCCATCACAGGAGGATTTTTAATCTGCAAATTTTCCTAGTAATAAAACATACCCAAACCAACTGATCTGCTTCATAACAACAACTGAACCAAACAACTGACAGGAGAATAATGCAGCAAGAGATTTGCCCCTATATTTCTGACTTCACAGTACAATCAGACATATTCAATCGGACATATTCTGGGTTCTCAACACTCAGTGGAAGTTTTGTTTGCGTACAGACCTTTTTGCACACCAAGGATGCTTGAAGAACTCAGCCTTTGCAGATTCCACAACGAACTGACCTGTTCTTCACTTCCCGAGCTAATGTGTGAGTTTAACTCAGATACCCAGGGCAGTATCCAGCTAAAGAGTTCCACTAGTACAAACACTTTTAGCTGCACAATGGAACTTTCCTGCCCAACCCTAGTGTAATTTTCCTCAACCTCTAAATTTAGAGGAACCCCCATATTTTAATGATTTAAATGAACTCAGTAGATTTAAATTTAAATGAACTCAAAAGATGGTCTTAGGCACATCATTATTCCTTCAGCCTCAATTTCCCAGCTACAGTATGGAGGTAATAATAGCAACTCATCGTACATGTATGTTACAAGGATTGCTCTAGTAACTATGTGATACACTATTAGCATTCTAAGTGTTAAGTAAACACTACAGATTATCATCATTAAAAAAAAAAGTGTGGCTACAAACACAAAACTTTGGTAATCTTAGCATTGCCTTTAGAAACATCAAAACTTGCAAAGGTAAAGTCTGGTAAGATACTGGAAAATGACTAAGTGTGCAATCATATGTATATTTACTAAGGAGTAAGCATCACTAAGTTCAGGGAGGCTTATTCCTCTGTGTAAGTGTACACAGAGTTGCAGCATAAAGAAATAAAAACCCTAATAGTACTCTTCACTGATGTTGCTGCATGATAACAGCCTGCATTCTGTGAACCACTTAGTAAATAGATGTTCTCCTGTGAGCATTATAAGGGGGAGAAATATTGTTCTGGCACAATCGCTATTTCCCAAGAGGTTACCGTTTTGTCAACACCTACAGATGTTTTTCAGTATTCCATTGGATGCCCAAGTTTGTAATTTCTCAGTTCTATTTTCAACTGAGCCAGATGCAATTTTCAAGCATGTTCAAAGTGTTGAGAAGTCACAATTTTTGCTTTAAAATTACTGATTATCTTCACCTGCCGAAATGTGTAGTAATCACTCCCCACTACACAATTCTTTTCTATTATTGATGCATGTATTTATTGAGGGTGGAGAGGGCAGATGTCATAAGAGTGCTATACAAATATCAATAGTAGTGTGGGATTTTTCCAGTATTCCTCCCTCCCTCCTCTATCTTGTTTTGCTTTGCTTTCCCATTACTAGCAGCTGCCAGACTTTGCGACTGTCAAAACTGGCAGCTGAAAACTTTTCTCCATACCTGCCAGAGGCAGATGATTGGAAATATGCAAATCTTATCAGAAACATTAACTGTCATGTTCCCAAACGGTCTGTAGATGAAGAAACGCCATTGCCCGCTTCCCTTTGCATTGCTACAAAAATCATTTTCCTGGGCCGCCCAGTAGCAGCATAATTAGAACACAAGAGGCCACAGATGTCATTGGTTTCTCTTTCTTCCTGTAACTATTGCTCTCGAGTTCCATGTGCCATTGATTTGTAACTGTCAAGCCAAAGAATATTTTCCTTGGCTGGTTATTTTTCAGCTGCAAAGGCTATGCAAGAATTAAAAACATCAGCACTTATTCACCGAGTCTTCTTTTATTCCAACTCAGGGGGCATTTTGAAAAGCCTTTTCAAAATACGCACCTTTATTGGCTACTGACCACTGAGGTACATGCCTAGCATAAATATGTGGCGCCATCCTACACATGGAGCAAAGGGAAGGCATCTAATAACTAGTCCTAGTTTGCATTCCATTTTTTTATTGTTATTTTGAAGATGTTCACCTTGCGAATTAAGATCAAGTCCCTTAGGAATTGCAGCATTGTAATTTTTTCTACCAACTGGTAGGAATATGACCTCATGTCTCTAAAGAGTAGAAAGCAAGGCCAGGGAAAGCAAGATGAATGCTAACAATATCGAATTCTAGGAGAAATTATTTAGGCTTAAAATGAAAAATTTAAAGAAGTAAATGCATAGAATGAGAAATGTACCAGAGAGAGCAAACATTTGCACTTATTGATGTAAGGCTGGACAATTAGCCGTTGGTTAACTAAGCAATCTATGGCCTTTTAAACTGGGGGTATTGTTTTTGTTTGTTACTAGCTTATGTATTT